AATTAAAAATAACAATCAGTAAAATAAATAGCAAATAGAGATTTAATTATTAATATTGCATTGTTTACCAACCGTACGAATTTTCGAAGTTATGATAGCAAAATCAAGATAGAATTTAAATCCACTCGCTGTGTAAAAAGGCTGAGTTTGTGAATTTTTATGAGTCATAAGCTATTCTTTTATCACGTGACTAACAGATTTATTTTTACGCTTTATCGATAGCTGACAATTTTAAAATGCCAACTGAAAAATCTTTTCATCACAGGGCTTCACCAGCTCTTAAACAGACCAATAAACCTTTCAAGTCAAAGCACGCGACAAAAAGTGCTCTTAAAGATAAGAGTAAAGGTAAAAATAGTTGACGCAGGAGAAGCTTTTATTTTTAAGAGAAGTTTACCTTAATATTCTACGTGGAATTAGGTAAAGTAAAGCGCGTGTCAATCAAAAATCAAGTAAAACCACTTTCCACGAAAGCAGACCGACGTAATACTGCAAAACAACAACAACAGAAACGAAGGGAGGCATTGTTCAAAGCGAATAGATTTTTTGATGGGTTGCGTGGTGCCCCGAAAATTGTTGTACGTTAAATGATTCGATCGCTTGATCAACTATATAATCGAATTTAACAAAATTATTTGATTTAAGGCTGTAATTCCTTTATGTCCAGATGTTAAAGCTTACAGTGCAGTCGTAAATATTTTTGGAAGTATAGATCAAACAGTCCCATCGCTTACAAAAGGAGTCGTTTTATTAAAGTAAATGCATATCTTGGTATTTGACTTTCAGCATATATAATTCCATACATATTGAATGTTGTGTTTAATTTATTAGTGCTGAAAGATTCAAACAAAAAGTACAATTTATTTTATTGGAACGTAATTTCATCGATATATTAGATGCATGCAAAGTAGCAGATTTTGTTGTATTTGTGATGTCTGCTGAGGTGGAGGTTGATAACTTTGGTGAACGATGTGTAAAAGCAATTCAGGCGCAAGGTGTACCGACTGTTATCCCCGGAGTTATGGTGATTTATTTTTCATATTATAAGCGAACATTTTTAGCCATTAAAAATTGGACAAACTTACATATTATTTATATAATCTCCCTTAATAGCACATCGAGCTTCAATCACCAAAAAAACGTAACGATGTAAAAAAATCACTTTTGAGCTTTATAAATTATTTTTTTCCGGATGAAGAAAAAATTTATTCTCTTGATGTCTCCCAGGTTTGTCGAGCTTTCTTTTGCGACAAAATATTAAAAGTTTTCACTCATTTTTAATTATTAATATGCAGGAGGTTCTTAGTTTATTAAGAACAATCTGTACACAACTTCCGAAAAACATACATTGGCGAGATACTCATCCGTATATGTTAGCAGATGATGTTGGCTTTGATGTTTATTCTGAAAATGAGGTTCGATGAAGTAATATGTTTTATAAAAAAATATACGTTTTTCTAATAATTTACAAACAGAATTTTGGAACACTTCGAGTTACCGGGTATGCGCGAGGAAATCCTTTTTCAGCAAATCGATTAGTGCATCTACAAAACTTTGGAGACTTTCAGTTGACACAGGTGTTATATTTGTGTGCAAATTTTTTTAGCCCATTATACAGGTTATTTAACTGTTTAAATAAATTACAGATTACGTCATGTCCCGTATCTAACGACAAGACTGATGAAATGGTATTATAATATAAAATATTTTGATTATTGTCAGAATAATATGTACTAACTTGAGCCAATTATTCTGTCTACTTGAATTAGGCAATGGATATCAAAGTTTTAGACTTGCCAGCGTCAGATTTACAAGTATATATCAAAATGTATCGGATCATTTTAAATATCAATTAATGAAATGGACATACGAATAATCCAAAAATTTAGGAAACATTGGTGGCGGAGAATGAATCTGATTTTATGTCAAACGAGCAAACATGGCCAACTCGTGAAGAATTAGATGAAGGCGAGGGTATGTTTATATTTTGCGTTCCATTTTAATACGTTTGCTCATAATCAACAATGTTTTTGCCCAAAGTTCGGTCGACTCCTATGAATCTTGAAGATATTCCTGATGCGATACCTGGAACTACTCCTAAAAGAGTATTAAAGCGAGTTCCAAAAGGAACCTCATCTTATCAAGCGGCATGGATTGTTGATTCGGAATCCGAGGAAGAGGATAATGACAATAGTGATGAAGATGAAGTTATGAAATATGAAAACGACGACGACGATGACGATGATAATGATGATGATAATAATAATAATGGCAATCACAAAAATGACACTAAAGCAGATGAACAGCTTGATGATAGTTTAAATCAAATTAGTGAAGAAGAATTAGAAGAGATCGAATTAGAAGACAGAAAAAGTATTTCTAGTTTACATTTGTCGCCGGAAGAAGAAAAAAGACAGTACGTTAATTCTTGAGTTTAAAAGATTTTTTGAGCTATACTTAGTATTCTTTCATTTAGACTTAAAGAATATATGGAAAAGATTGCAAAACAGCAGCGTGATGATTTAGAATTTCCCGATGAAGTAGACACTCCAGTTGATACGCCAGCACGAATTCGTTTTCAACGATATCGTGGGTTACAAAGTTTCCACAAATCCCCGTGGGACCCTTATGAGAATTTGCCAGTTGATTACTCTCGAATTTTCGAATTCGAGAACTTCAAAAGAACAAAAAATCGTGTATTACGAGAAGCGAGCACTGGAATTGTCAAACCGGGTCAAAGGATTACCTTGCATGTTGCTAATGTGCCCAAAGCTATATTGGAAATATTTAATTCATATAGACCTTTCATTGTATTTGGTCTTCTTCGGTATGAGCATAAAATATCTGTGTTAAATTTTACTGTCACTAGGAATAGTGAATTTAAAGAACCAGTGAAATCAAAGGTAATTTCAACAAAGAATATCGTGTGATTTTGAATTTAACTTTTAGAATTAATCAGAATCCAAATTCTCTATATTTTAATATTCTAGGATTCTCTTATACTTCACTGTGGATTTCGGCGTTACGTGGTTCGACCTTTATACTCGGAAAACATTAAGGGTAGCAAGGGAGCTAATAATGTACATAAATTTGAGAGATTCTTTAATTTGGGGCGTACATGTATAGCAACAATATATGGACCTATTCAGATGGGAAATTTGCCTGTTATACTTTACAAAGATACAGGAAATGTTAATGGTATGGAAAGGAGATAGTTCATTAAATGCCTAATAATTTAGCTAAATATAATTTTAAATTTATTCAGCTCCTATCTTTGTTGCAACTGGCACTTTTACTAATGTTGAGCCGAAACGTATTATCGCCAAACGCATCTGTCTTACCGGATATCCTTTTAAAGTGCACAAGAAATCTGCAGTAGTCCGTTATATGTTCTTCAATCCTGGTATGTAGCATTTCTTGCATATGTAATCTTGTTACATTATTTTATTGAATCGCTTCTCTTGGAAAAATAAGATGACGTGTTATGGTTCAAACCTATACAATTAACAACGAAATATGGCCGCACTGGGCATATACGCGAATCACTCGGAACTCATGGTTATATGAAATGCGTGTTTGACGGCCCGATCGGACAACAGGATACCGTAGTAATGAATCTCTATAAACGCGTGTTCCCTAAGTGGAACACAACGATTCTATGGCGAGGTGGAGTTGAAGGGAAAGTTGAGGAAAATAATGAACAGGTGATCACCAAAGAAATGATACTCGACAATAATACTTAAATATTCATATAATTTAATAAAATTGATTTCCTTATTACGTTGAAAATCAATCCAAAATATTTGAAGCTTTTGAAGATATTATTTTAGCATTATGCGTCTAAATGCTAACAATTTTATTATAACCTCATTAAAAGAGAGTTTGTAGGATTTCACTTTATTTACAATAGCATTCTATTTTTTATACATTATTTGATCCGACTACTTCCTTGGTTTGATTATTTTTTTCGTTTTATCGTTTGACGATCGTGATTTAGAGAGCTTAATAGTAAACTTTTACAAATTTCCACATTTATCCACTGACTTGTGTCTACGGAACTCCCGCTGCTACTGCTAGCGCTATTACTGCTGCTTATGGTAAATCCATTGCTTGTTATTCCAATTGTATTATTAGACCTTGAATTTATCCACACAATTCTCTCCACAAATCCACGCACCAAATCAACAGTCTCAGCTGAACCACCTTCGATGTGTACAGAAGATTCTAAATGCCTGACAATGTGAATTTTGCCTTCTTCCGTTTCACAGAAAAGAACCTTCCTCTCATCAATGCCAATAGGCGAGAACAAATCGGCATTTCGAAACAGTGAAAGGATTTGTTCTTTTTCTGGTTCGTTCTTGACTGGCGCGACAAGATGAATATCGTAGGATTTTGTGAGGACTTGCAATAATGGAAGAATATTTTCCACAAATGCATAATTGGGGGAATCGGGATCATTAGATGGATTCCATACCAAAGTCTGTTTAGAAATCACAAGCATAATTAAAATCAGAATATAATAAAAAGGTACAATAATGATCGAGGGGGCGAATCATATAATATTAATTACATCTTTTAATGAAATGGACATTGCCTTCCTCTTTAGCCTAACGGATTGCCTAGCTTGGACACTTCTGCCACGTGTCGACAGATCAGTTACACGCCTTCGTAGCCGCGTCTGTGTTGTATTTGGATTCCTTCGTGCCTAATAGTTTATTTATGAGTGTTACATTTTTTTTCCGGAGATTACGTAATACCATTTTTGGGTAAAATACCTACTGCTTCATTCCTTTCTAATTCTGAACCAGTACCTTCTTCACCACCTGTTCTATTATCACGTCTTTCTCTGAACTGAGATCTTTGATAAACGTAGTAGACTATACCTGCTGCAGCCACGGCCAATGCCGCATAAGTATATAAAGGTGAATTACGACCTCGTGAATTTGATTTCGAAGAAGACATTGATATTCTAACAGTGAAGGACAAGAATGCTGCGTGTAATCCATATGATTTCAAATGTCGATCAAATCTTGGGTTACACAATCTCCATCTGGTAAAACAATTCGGGGGTTACACGATCTTCCATCTCATTCATCTTTACTCGAATAATGACAATTTTTAATTTTAAAAAGCGTGAATGCGTATCATCAATGTCGATATAGCTTATAACCATCCGGTCTTTAATCAACTTGAATACCTTGACAACCACACCGCCCAAGTTAAATCAAAAATAACATGCATTGGCGTGCAAACCGTTGCTCTTTAAAGAGCAACAACATAATAGCTAAAAAGAATTCAGGTTCATATTTTTTTCCTCAACAAACGCGAAATGTTACGTATACAAAAACTCCTTCTCATACAACAGTTCCTTTAACTGCAAATTCATCGTCTTCAACAACTACTCCTCCACATCCGCTTTCCACCGTCTCTATCACAGGCTTAAAAGCAAATTCATCTAATTCAGCAACGCCTCCACGTCCACTTTCCACCGTCTCTATCACAGGCTTAGCGGACTCCATCCAATTTACCTCACTACAGCCAAACGTCAGAATAATGTCGCCTTCATGGTTATCACTCTCTTCCCCATCTTCACCACCACCACCACCACCAACAAAAAAACCTCACAAACAACAAAATGCTGTTAATTCTACGGTAAATCGGACGGGACAACGACGTGGATATTCGCCACAACACTTTTATCAGAACCGAATTCTAGATCAATACGCTTCTCAACCTGTTCATACCATAACGCTTCGTCAACTGGTGTTCTTTGGAAGAAATTTATCGGAGGAACGATTAATACAGAGTGGAAATTACGTTCGTACCGAACTACCCATACGTCTCGCACATCGTATACGTGATTTTCAAAATCTTCCCTTTATTGTGGGAACGAATCCACACATAGAAATGGTATATGGTTTGTATTGGTCGGCATTCGAAAAACTACGACAATTCCCAAAAATAAATACGATGGAAGATAATGACGCGTTTTGCGCGACTGTTAAAGAGCTGCTTAAAGAACACTTGGTGGTGATTCCACAACTAGCGATGGGTATGAACGAGTGTTCTGATCATATACCTGAAAAGCAAATCAATCTGTTTATGAACAAGATGTTGCTTTCGCGATTATCAAGACGCGTTTTAGCTGAACAGCAGATTGCATTGACTGAGAATTGGCATGATCCCGGTTATTGCGAAGGAATCACGAATGATGGATATATTGGCGTGGTGTCAACGCGTTGCAATGCACGAGATATCGTGACGGAAGTAGCTAAAATGACTCGGAAACATTTTCAAAATAAATATAGAATTGTTCCACCGGATGTTTTATTAGATGGTGAACAAGACATTACATTTACTTATATTCCAGAACATATTGAATATATTTTATATGAACTTTTGAAGAATTCGATACGTGGGATAATTGAGAAGCATGCGCCTGCTTCTTTAATATCGGATAACACAACATCAATACCTAAATCATTTTCGTTTCCACCAATACTCGTGACTATATGTTCTAGCCCAACAGATATTCACTTTCGCGTATCTGACCAGGGCGGTGGAATTCCCGATGAAATATATTCACACATTTGGTCATTCTCATCCTCACATAAATTTAGCGACGGCAAAAAAAACGGGTATAAATTTGTAAATTTCGAAAAAGTACCAAAAATGGCAGGGACTGTTGAAGAGCAAGAAGGCGCAAGGATTCCACCGTTACTGCACCTGGGCATTGGATTGCCGTTGAGCAAAGTATATACCGAATATTGGGGTGGTGCGTTGAAGATTATGACTATGGATGGATATGGCACCGATGCCTACATAAGAATTGCGAAATTAGGAAATCGTGAAGAGAATTTATTGTAAAAATTAGACCAAATTTAATTTGTAAATTATTTCAGCAAACTTTGCCCTTTTGGGTAAAAAATTGTGAGCTGAGGGGGACCTATCATGATCCATTTTAATTATTTCATTTCAATCTTTATTTATTTAAAGTAGATTGTACTTTTAAAAGATTGTAATATTTTTGATTGCGTATAAATTCAATTTGAATCGCCGGATGTAGTCGGTTTAAAATACAAGTATACTCGTCGTGTGTATAGTAATCAAAATTAGATTTGGCACATCATAAAGAGCCAACCTAAGATTAACACTATTTTTTGGACCCCGTGGTTAGTATTTGTGATATGAAGCATGAAATAGAAACGCGTAAATTCAAATGATAAAAAGGATACAATCAATGAACACATCAATAAATGAAGTGAGTATAGTCCGCTCTTTGACATTCAATTCTGATCCCCTTTACAAAAGCTTTTCATCAATCACCACCCGCAGTAAGAATTTCCTATAACTTATGCTGTACATATAAGTTTCATTTTATTATTATTATTTTTTTTTGCTTCTAAAGATACATTTATAATTACTGCGGATGAATCCAAGAAAATTTTAGCAATAGCCCTCTAAATTTCAAAAACGATCTTACCGCTAATTTCTCACTCAAATATTAAGGGACAAATAATATATTTAGAAGCATTAACTTTTATTTGAAGAACCCTGATATGTGGGATCTAGAAGAACGATTGGAAAAGTTAAGATAAAAAAAACTTTCGCAATATCTGAGAGTGATAAATAGATATTATAAATTGATTTCTTACCCTGACTTGGATATATAATCCCTTTAGATTCAGTACCGGGTGGTGCAGGGATCTCCATTGACTCGAGCGGTGGCAAAATAAGAGGTGGAGGACCCAGTGTATCAGCTGCGTCGATCTCTGATTTAGGACCGGTTGGTCGGGGTCGACCCCAAGCTACTTTTAAAGTATGTCCCTTTATAATTAAATTATTATATGATGTGTCTACAGCTTGTTCGGCTGAAGCTCTCGTTGCGTAATTAATAAAAGCACAACGTGATTTATGAACCACGACAACCGACTTAATTTCTCCAAATGCGTAGAAATGCCCTCTAAATAAAAGTGAACAATGAAATTTATCAAAAAGGATAATCAAGCTAATAACAGTGATAACAGTGCGGTCATATATAATAGACTTTATACTAAAAGCAATGTTGGCAAATAATCCTATGTCCATATATGAATATATTTACTAAAGCAAAACCCTGCTAACCCAGCTACTTTACAAGATTGAATTGAATCGCTGCAAAACAGGGATGAAACAAAACAATCACTATATATCGTTACCTTAAATCAGATTCCATTATATCTTCTTCTACACCAGTAATGAAAAGTGAAGTCTAAAAATAATCAAATGTAACGATAATTATTAGCCCACTATTTAAACGAAGTCTGATAACCGAGGTATCAAGAACTAGCGATATTTAGTCTACCGGGAAATTTAATAATGGCTAGTGACTTACGATAGACTTATCTTCTGGTGGGGTTATGTTTGAATTGCCACCACCTTTGATCCTGTTGAGGATTTTTTTTGCGACTGGATCATTTGTGCCGTAATATCGATCTTTGATATTTTGATGTGAAAGTTCATTCTCCTCGGGTACTTCGTGTCTAGAAATTGAACAATTAGATAATTTTCCCTAATTTATTTGAAAATTTAGTTATAATAATATTTTACCTGTATGGGCATTCATCACCACGTTTACATGTCCCTTTTACATAAAAAGAGCATATATGTGGCCTATTTCTCTTATAGTAAGGTTCTGTTCTTGCCAACTTTTTCAGCATTTCACGACCAGCCGAATCCACTTTTGAATATTGTATTAGACTATCTCCAGCAGCAATCTTCACTCCACCAACAAAAAAAGAAATTATCAAAAAAAGCATACCCTAAAATCAAGCAACGAAAAAAAACGAAATCAAACACACAAACCTTCCCTTCAATGTTCTGCGCAAAATATTCTCTATTTATATCAGATCGAGGAGCATCATTCGTGATATTCATCGCGGTATCACGAACTTGCACGGGAAGATTATACTGCAAATCCAGCAAACATGTTTGACATACATTCTTAAGTTTAGCACACGTCTGGCATATTTCGGTCTTTTTGTATCGCATTCCCGATCCTGGGAGCCATCGGAAGATGGTAAAAGGACGAGAACAGACCTTAAAGTTTTTTAAACCATCAATCAGAAATTTGTAGGAAATGTAACTCAATTTAATTCAAGAGCGTTTGGAACACTCACTTTACACTCTTTCCCGTAGGGCTGCTTAGTCTAGCGTGCGAAATTATGGTTAATGGTGACTTTAAAGAAATTTTTTACAAATGATTCAAGAATATATTACCATTCGAACATATGGGTTGTCTCCGAGACAAGTTTCACAAAGTATTGGAAATTCCTAAGAAGACATAGTGTTAGCGCCGGGCATAGTAAATGTCACGAAGTAAAGTCTAAATGAAATTCTTAATAACCCACCGATTCCTCCCATCCTTGCTTGTTTGGATCTGCCTTGGTAACCATTATTACATAAAGTTTTGAAATATTACAAATACAGGTAATCTCAAAATAGATACACCAAATAAACTATATATATTGATGATCCTCAATGATAAATTTTATTAATTCTCCATGGGATGTTGATCATGTCCACGTGTAATAGAACAGATACGCGCGTTTTAAAATTTTATAAATCATGATACATAGCATCAGAAATTTATTTTCACGCATCTGAAAGACTACCAACCATACAAGGAAAAAGCTTCAATTAACCCATTGTGCAAGGATAAAACAATTTCGAGAGAATTTATTATGTTCGGGATATTATGAAATCTGAGAACAAAAAAAATCAAATAGCATGATCGATATTGATAGATTTTCCCGCCAACAAATCTTGATCAAACAAATAAAGACCAAGTCCATCCCCACCAACACGATTCAACTGAGTCACAAAATCTGCAAGCTTCTTAATGGCCACAACTTGTTCTCCCAAAAACTCCGACTCGAGATAATCGCACAACTGTGGATCATTCTGCTCCTCCGCGATTTTGTGCAGATTCAAAAGTGACTTGTTGACATCTTTTTCGAGTTGAAGAGCCGTTTCTAATGCAACTTTAGCAGATGTCCAGTTAGCTTCTGGTACTTTTAAATCGGTGAGAACCACTTTTCCACCGCGAAGGTTTTGATAATTGATTAGTTTGTTGGCGTGATCCCGTTCTTCTGTAGCACTTTCCTGAAAGAATTTGGTAAGTCCCGGTAGCGCGACATTGACGTTTCCTGCCCATGCGGCAAGAGAAAGATAAGCTTGGGCTGCTTCGAGCTCAGCGTTAATTTGTACGTTTATAGCTTCTTCCGAGACTGATGCGAAATTTTGTTTAGCGAGAGACATCTTGGGTTATATGTTATATGTTTTATGTTTGAATAACTTACAAAATGTGCAGACTCTATATTCTTTTTTTGATCACTATTGGATAATAAATATAATACACATCAAAAAAAATATTACATCATGATCTGTGCAACCAAGAATAACCTATACCGGTAAAAACCTTAAATCGCATATTGACTCCGCATTTCACCATGAACGACAACTTCGATTACCTTAATTTAGTTGAAGAAGAACCAAATCCAACTACAGTAGACCATATAAAAACGGTAGCGTCTCGTTTAAAAAATTTTCAGAAAAAATCTCCAGAAAAAGCCTCTTTACCAACACCACATCAAGCATATGATAAATACGTGCGAAGAGACAAGCCTTGGTATCTGAAGAAAGAAGGACCTCCCTCTGCGCTGATTAACGTTCGAGATTTTCGGAAGTCTTTTGTTGAAAAGTTTGCGGAAGAAAGGAAAATTCTCGAAAACCAAGATAATGCCACTAACCTCTACGCAGATTCTTTTAACCAAACGGTGGAATATGAGCTAACGGAAGGTGAAGCAAAAGAGATCGAGAAAAAATGCGGGTAATAATTGAATGAAATAAATTATGTTTCCATGTCCTATGACGAATTTAATAACGTGTATTTTTGAATTTAGACTCAAGGAATTTGAACCTTCGAACGAGTTATTGAATGACTCTCAATTCTTTCCACTTCTCTGTCATCACTATAGAGTTGATATGGAAAAGAAAATCTGCGGTGGTGAAGGTGGTGATGATGACGATGACGACAATGATGATGACGATGATGACGATGACGATGATGATGATGATGATGATGATGATGATGACGATGATGACGACGACGATAGTGATACTGATAGTGGCAGAAGCACCATATCTTCTGGTAATGAATCTGACGTGGATAATACTAGACATTGTACGAAACATAAAAGTAAGCAAAGAAAGAAAAATCCGTATTTATATACTTCATCTTCTGGATCAGACAAGGAGGAAATCACATCGATAGTATCTACTACTGAGCTTCAACAAAATGATCAATCGAAAATGGGTAATAACCCTAAGAGTTCTGCTATTCTCACAGCGCGTCCTGAATCTCTCTCGATCGCATTTCTTATATCGTCAGAAGCACCCACCGAGTCAATCGTTAGTCCTGATACAGTGCGAGATTCATCTCCGAATAGGACAGAATCATCTTCGATTTCTACACCATTGCAGCAAGAATCACGTCCAGTGACCCCTAAAGAATCTGGTATAAATTCGCCGAGTCCACCCAATAAAAAGAGAAAAGCTTCAGATTCAACAAGATCAATACCGGACGATGATTCTTGGTTGGATGAATTATTTTCTAATGACACTAGTATCTCGTCTGATCAATCACCTGCAAGTAAGAAACGTCGCTATAACGCGTTGAAAAATAAAGCCCGAAAGTTGGAGAAAATGATTGAAAATTCTCGTTTGGCGAGCTTAAAGTAAATAAATGGTTTTAAGATTTATTAAATTGCCAATTACATTGTTCATGTTTCGAATCTTTTTTTTTTAGAAAAGATAATCGATATAAGACACCACATAAAACACGTCATGAAATTAATCATGTTCCCAAACGTTTAGTAAGCATTATATTCAATTAGACAAAACCCTTTTCATCTATTTTTATCCTTACTAATTCTATCATTCTATTCAGCCAAACAAGACAGAAGTGACATCGATCAACAAAATTACAGAGCCCGAAATTATACTTTCGGTCGCATTCTATAATCAACACAGACCAGCACAACGAATGCAAGAATTTCTCGTACTGGGAAGTCAACCATTAACCAAACTACGTGATAAATTCTATTGTAAGCAAGATTTTGTGCGCTTTAATGTATCACAAGAAATTGATTCAGAAGAAAGGTTAAATGTGGATCTGGAGAAAAAGTCTCCCAGTTATTTTTTCATTGAAAACACTTTCTATAACGATCGCAGAGATCCCGATTCATTGGACTATAGCAAGTGGGTATTTTTATGAGTTAATTAATTGTTTGTTTTTCATTTTTTAGCTAACCATTAAATTACATCGTTAATTGAAAGAAATATTATCAATTGGGTTAACGAAAACAATCGGTTTGAAGATCCAAAATTGGGTCAATATCAAGTCAAAGTCATGGGAGAAACTAAATTCATTGATCTCTCGATTCGTCTGAATGAGCCTTACTTGTTTTGTCATCAAGGGAATTGTCAACATGCGGTAATATTTAGGGACCTTCGGTGAGTCAATATGATTGAATCCATTTTACATTTTTTCTACTTTTCTTATTAATATAATCAACTATCAGACTTTTAGAACCAGATATGAAATACGAAGATCTAAATGCAGATAACTATCCAAAAGCAATTTTTCGCAGTCGTATTCAACATCACAAATGTCGATTATGCAAGCAGCGACCAGCGGAGTATGTATCGGTATTTTTTTTTTTTTTTGCGAGTTCGAATTCTCACATTCAAACTAATTTACCATTTTTTAGTTATGTACTTCTGGACGATATCAATTCACTAGAGACACCATGTTACTGGTGTCATAATTGCTTTGTGCAATTCCATTATTACGATAATAAATTGGTCTACGGTGTAAATTCATTCAAGGTCAGTCTATATGGACACCGCTATTATATTTATTAAGTATTGCGATATTAATTAAATTCATCTTTTAAATAACTAGATATTCCATTATCAACACGAGGATTAAAATTCAACTCATGTTAATAGTAAAAAAATTATAAGCTCACTTTTATTTATCATTGTAATTAAAAATTTACATATTAAAAAACAAGCAAAACATAATTAAATTGTTGTGTACATTCATCAATAACATTTCTATTATAATTATTGTGATGATGATATTGATAATAGTCTTATTATTCATTTTCGACCCGGGGTGCCAGATAATATCTAATAAAGGCGGAATCATCCATTTTGTATTCAACCAATAACGGAACATTATCCGACAAGAATAGGGTGACTTGATCTGACAATGGAGTTGATTTTGAAAAGAGAGTAAGATACTTTAAGGAGAAGGTGAGAGTCACACTTTGCGTCAGTTCGATCGATGTGGATGCCTCTTCCTAAAGTATAACAAGATGAAAGTGAGAGTGGGTTAATGGAATTAGTTTGACTGCGAACAACGAAAAATAATACAAATGCAACGTGAGACAGATAGAACGAACATTATCAATATCAGTATGAGGTTTAAGTGTGACAGCACCGGTACCAAATTCTCCACTTGACGTAAATTTAATGCCTTCTTTTTCTACATTAAATGTCACTATTATGATATCAAGCGATTAATTAATACGATTAATAAAATGTTACGTGATAAAAAATTTATTTACTCTTTGAAGAAAATTCAGTATTAATTACCTGATTCACTAATAACTGCTAAATCTCGGCAAATTCGTTGAAATTCGCTTGATGGCATACGAACAATCGCTTCATATTCAGTATCAGGAATACCGAGATGCTCTTGATCAATATCCATTAATTTAAGTTCATACTCTCCAACTCGATCATTATCTTGAATATGACAAATTGAATACAGGATGCTCGATTAGTTTCTACTTTTAATATCTTTATATTCTACGAATATACTCACTCGGACTTTCAAATATCAATCCTAGAGTATCGCCCGAGTCATCTGCTTTCAACGTGATAATATCCTCGTTTCCAGCGCACTTTAGAATCTTATTTAAAGAGTTCAAGTTTACACCTAAAGGCATATTTCTGTCACAACGATAAGGGTCAAACCCTTCGGCCCTTAGCAACACGGAAACTAACGCGACGTGGGAATTGTCCATTGCTTGTAATGCAATGCCAGTCTCGCTACAGTCAAAATTCGCGTCCGTCACTAACTCTTTGACTGCTTCGAGGATTTTTTTGAGTAGCGAACCTTGGCTTAAACGTGCTTCAAACATTTTTGTGTCTGTCTCAAATGTATTATATTAATAAGAGGTTTGTGTGGGTTTAATATTGAGGTGGACAAGTTTGAGTTGTGAAAAGTGCAAAAGACGTGTAATAAAGTGAAAAAAAGATTTTTCGTGATGGGATACGCGTTTCTGATAAAAGCGCGTTTTTATAAATCTTGCACTTCCGGCTGGTTGGCTGACTGGTTGATTACAGCCGCACGACAGATCAACTTTATTTTATTCGTTAATCGTCCAATTTGATCAGGAAAGCGGTTTATGACTTTCCCACCTCAAAAAAGTTGCACGGAAGGAAAATCAAAAATTATGCCATATTATATAGTCAACGCTCGATTTTATCACCTCATCCAACCATGAGAATTAGGGATTGTGACAAAATTCGGGAAAAATAATAAAAAGGTTTCGAACGTTTAAATGATAAAATTAAAACTTAAGAATGTTATAAGCTCGAACGTGACAGAATCGAGGGTTCTGGATATATTCCTTTTTGGTTTTATCGTACTAGCTTTTTTAAATAAAGGGCCATAACCGTATTGTCAAGCAAGAAGTATATATATATATATAGTATGGCCGCCTGCAAAAGGAAAATTACTCTAATTTTCAGAACGAAATATGTCATACGACGCTACTATTGTAATTTCCAAATCCCCGGTCAATAGGTATTAAAAAAGTAAAAACAATTGATGGCAAAAACCGCCTAAGGAAGTTATAGAAACAACCTCCGCCTAAAAATGAATGTGTGGTTCCTAAAGTCATCTTTCAAAGAAATATACTCGTTCTCACGCACAATGATTTTTTCGTGAAGAAAACTAGAATTCATGGAACGTAAGGGAATTAGAATTCGAAGCGCAGTATTTCTTAGATTATCACAAAAACTTAAGTTCTCATATCGATATTATTATATATTCCTACTTTTATAAATCGATCAAAAAAATGTGGGTCAATTAAAAGAATTAGGTTTAGCCCCGTTTCATCAAATAGGAAATATTAGTGTCTATTGTTCTATAATGAATCATATCATTGTTTTGCGAAATGCGATCACCGTAATTAGTGCCAAAATTAAAACTCATTGTCTAATTCCGACCAAAATTAGCCATGTCGAAATTTAAACTTTTTTTCATATGAGAGCCACGAGGGATCACGCAATTTTAGTCAAAAATATTACTCATTCACCCCCCAACACATCTAATCTTACATTATATTATACAAATTCTGTTTTCGTGCAACCAGATGAAAATTTTTCGTAACCTTTTCTTTATTATAAAATGATGTAATTTTTTTGTCTTGAACTTGTCACCCCGTGTTTTTCCTAATAAATTGAACAATGTCTACTTCCGGCGAGACTTTTCTTTTCACTTCCGAATCTGTTGGTGAAGGTCACCCAGGTAATTCCAATAACTATGTGTAGGGCTGGTATTTGGACTAAGTCCAAATATCTAAATGACTTAGTTCAAATATTCCAAATGCCAATACTGACTAAATATCTTTGTAGATCAAGTAGACCCTTTTTTTAATAACTTTATATTAAATGTTTCTCGTCCAAGTTCAAATATTCCAAACGTTAACGCTGACTAAATATATTTGATCAAGTAGACACTTTAATAACCTTAACATTGATTAATCAAAAAAAAAAAATTTTTTCTCGTTACTTGCTTATAGACAAAATTGCCGACCAAGTTTCTGACGCCATATTGGATGCTTGTCTCAAAGACGATCCCTTTTCAAAGGTCGCCTGCGAAACAGCTACCAAAACTGGTCTAGTACTTGTCTTTGGTGAAATCACAACAAGATCCACGGTAGACTTTCAAAAAGTCGTTCGTAATACTGTTAAACGTATCGGTTATGACGACTCTGCAAAAGGTTTCGACTATAATACCTGTAATGTTTTAGTTGCTATAGAGCAACAATCACCGGATATCGCGCAAGGTCTTGTACAACAAGGCGAAGATTTAGAAAAAATTGGTGCAGGTGATCAGGGTATCATGTTTGGATATGCGACCGATGAAACACCGGAATTGATGCCGTTGACCTTGATACTTGCGCACAAGCTTAATCAAAAATTGGCAGAACTTCGTCGTGATGGTACTCTTTCATGGTAAATAAATAATGATGTAAAATAATTGCACCGCAAGGACGTCTTTGCTCATGCTAAAGAGATTGATGTTAGATTTTTCACGTCATTCAAAAGGACACGTACTAAATTCCCTATAGAGAGAAAGAGGCTAATTTAACAATAATTTATTTATATTGTAGGCTTCGCCCGGATTCCAAGACTCAGGTCACCGTTCGATATAAGAACGAGGATGGTGCTCTGGTCCCGATTGAAGTGGACACTATCGTTATTTCTGCACAACACGGCCCCGAAGTTACAATTGAAGAACTTCGAAGTGAACTTTTAGAAAAGGTGGTAAAAACGGTTATCCCTGCAAAGTATCTTACATCAAAGACCATTTATCATTTGCAGCCATCTGGTAGATTCATAATTGGTGGTCCTCAAAGTGATGCTGGTCTGACAGGTCGTAAGATTATCGTAGATACGGTAAGAATAATCAATCGGTTCTATATCATTATTATCTTCACGTAAAAAATCGACCATTAATACATTTTCATTTCAGTACGGAGGTCATGGTGCTCATGGCGGGGGTGCTTTCTCGGGCAAAGACTGGTCTAAAGTTGATCGTTCAGCTGCATACACAGGTAAAGAATGTATAAGACGAAAAATTCATTGAAACCTTGCACCCGAGTCCACATTCTAATTTATTGTTATTTTTAAGCGCGATGGATTGCTAAATCACTTGTACACGCAAAACTTGCACGACGTGTACTCGTACAGCTTTCCTATGCCATTGGAGTAGCCGAACCTCTTTCTATTTTTGTCGATACATATCGTTCTTCAAACAAAACAAACGAAGAATTATTGCAGATAATTAAGAAGAACTTTGATTTACGTCCTGGTGTAATTGTAAGTGAACTCGGTCTTCACAAACCAGAAGGTTGGAACTATGAACAAACAGCTGTGTATGGTCATTTTGGAAGAAATGAGGTGTGTATATATGTATATATATTTTATTAGGATGATTGATAAATTAACTAATGATTTGATATTATTTATATTGCAGTTTCCCTGGGAAAAACCAAAGCACCTCAAGATATAAAGTTTTAATAAATTATTTTTAAATATTTATTAATTCGCCTTGTAATTTTTAAATTATTATTTAGTTAGTAGCTCTCCTAGTTTTGCTAGAGATAGTTTATCCATATGTTTAATAACATACAAGTCATATAAATTTCTATCCTGAGAAAAATAGAGAGAACAGAAAAACTACATTTACAATTTGCAGAAATTTCAAGACAAGAGTCGAGTTTTTTATTAAAAAATGTATGGTCATCTTTATATAAAGGTTCGTCATTAATAGAGAGAACTTAACATTCAAAGCTACAACCGACTTTATATTATTCTAGAGAACGGGAACGCGTAGCCGAAAATAAGGATATTTCGAATACGAACGATTTTGTTCTCCTTTGGATTTTTGTTTTGTTCACGAAGAAATCTGAAAAAATTTTTTTTGGTCATTTTATTGGTATTTGGAAAAAATCCAGAACTACTATTGGATGATTTTTAATGCACCGAATTAATAAAAATAATCAGGAGTCGGATTTTCCGGAGGAGTTAATAATTATGAATATCAGACGATCGGATGTCACTAGTGAGAAGAAAAAATCATAAAATAAGACTATAACATGCTTGTCACATAAAAATCAAAAATTCATTCTTCTTTCCTGCTTTCTTGCTCAATTCAAAATCTTATTCAAAATAAGTTTTCTAAACTTAGAATATATATTTATTTATTATAAAAAAATTAGTCAAATAGTAAATATGGGCTGGTGCAAAAAGATTGGTATACTAATATAAAATTAATAATTGCTTCTAATAAAAATCATTCAAATTTTAACCAATCTTTAAAATTTTTTTATATTAAATAAAGAATGATCTAAATTAACTTTTTATACTATTTTAATTATTTTATTATACTTTAATTT